CTCAGTGGGAGTGTAGTCCCTAGATGACCATATTAAACGAATGATGTTTGCTTATGCCGGACTGTGCTTATCAATCTAGGCCAGTCGGTTGAAAAACCCAAGGTACCTGCGCATAAAGAATTAACCGATGAGGGTTTTGGGTTAGCCCTTGATGAGGTTGGATCTTATGCTTAGATAAGAGAGACGAGGGACTGTGTGACCCTTGTATATGATGGTAGGCCTACTAAGATGGGGGTCAAAACCTCATCCATGTTCCATCACACGGCATGCATATTGATAGATCGTTCAGGAAAACTAGATATCCACCTTTAGGTGAAGCGTATGCATGTGTGAGAGATTTCTTTTTCTGAATTGCCTCAGACATGTCGGATTGTGATGAAACTTGACAAGTGGTCTTTTGATGTGCTTAGGAAGGTTATGACCCGTTTTAAGGCAATTCTAAAACTGTTGGAAATTTCATTGTATGTCGAGGCTTTTATTGACTGGCTTCCTCTTTTATTCCACATCAGGGACCAAGGCACTGAAAAATATCTTCAAACATATGCCTATTACTTTCACCCATTCTCTTCCATGTCTTTAAGCAGATATCCAAAACCTCCAAACTTCATCATAAGATATAATTTTGGTGTCAAAATTTTTTTAGGATAATCTAAAAATCTATTTTCGCCCCTCATTATAAAATTTGAAACTCTAAAAATAGTTCAAATCAAGCATATCTATAAACGCATGAAGTTCTTGAAAACGAGTGGTCTTGATAATGAGTTGTAAGATGAACTATTTTTTAAACTTAAAATCTCTTCTTCTTTTTCCCATATGCATATATCTCGATTTTGAGATGATCATTTAGATGGTTTTCCAACGTCAAAATAGCCTCTTCCAATGGATTTTTGAGGTACACCTTAATTCTACAATTTAAGGTGTCATCCTTGTATGAACTTTTTCCTAGATATAATATTGGGATAAATTTCATTTTGCCAGAGATATTAGCAAGTTTCAAACAAGGGAGATTCTACATTTATTGTAATTCCCTTTTGGTAAAAGTATCGAAGCTGCCAGTGGGCCAAGCCAGCCTTAACCCTAGCCTGATCGTGCCCTCGATAGGACTGGCCCAAGCTCAGCCCTATCCAAACTAGGTCGAAGAGGTCCTTTGGCCAAGGCCCAACCCTAGCCTTGTCGAGGCAGTAGACCAAAGCAAAAACAAATTGAGGAAAAATAAAGGATCGAGCCTACTTGGCCATATCGTAGCTCTAGCCCAAGCCCAACCAAGCTCTCAAGACCTAGCCAACCCTCAAGCCACATTTTTTGGCCCAGGCCCTAGTTTTTCAAGGCTAGATAGACCAAGTTGGCCAAGCTACCGAGCTTACTGCCAACCCTAATAATAATAGGGTGCGGTTTGTATAGAGCTTAGGTTCTAAACAATCAAATTAGAGCCTACCTTCAAATAGTGTCGAAAAATGTGGCTTCAATACTGGAAATCTTTGTGATAATCTTAAAATATACTTTCATCTTTATTGATAAAGTTTAAACTTTCAAAAATAGTATAGATCGACAGATCTATAAAAATTTGAAAATCTTGAAAATTGATGGTCCAAAAATGCGTTATAAAATACACTATTTTCATAACTTAAAATCCATTTTTTTGCTCATGTTCATGCATCTTGATGTCGAGATGATCGATTTGAAGATATATGGGCATCAAAATAGTCTCTTCTAGTGAAATTTTTGAGGTAGGCTCTAATTTGATTGTTTAGAGCCTCGGCTCTATATATAAACTTTTCCCATTATAATATGCATATCGTGAGTACAGAATGCTATCCATTGTTAGACGTTCACTATCAATGGGAGGGATAGACCATAACAAATATCACCCATTTTCTTTCAATACAATTACAGGTCATCTCAACCATCCATCGTGGAAGGCACCATCTACGTGGTAAGGGTAACAGTAGGTTGGCCTAAGCCCAACCTGGCCCAAGCCCGTGCCAAATGAGGCCTAACCCAAGACAGGCCCCAGGTAGCCTAACCCAACCGTATTAACAGGTTGTAGGCATAGGCCAATAGATGTTTCTCTTTTTTTTTTATTTTCTGAATTCATAAAAGAAAAAGGAAAAGTGGGCAGCAGTAGGCTGACCTCAATTGGGGCTACAACCCCTATCCTAGGATTGGCCTCGCCCAATACAGAGCCTATGGTTTGGGACAGGCCCACCCCTCAGGCCAAATTTAGTGGCATGAGCCCATTCTAGGGCCATCAAGATGGGTGTGATTGTCCAGCCTATTACCACCCCTCTCCTATGAGATGGTATTCTACAATGCACAATATAGCATTATAAGCACCCGTAGCATTATAAGCACTCATACAATGTTCAGGAGGATATTGTACACTCACTCCTTAGGTGAAAAAGCTACTATGAAAAAAAAATTGGTCTGATATTTCGGGATTCACCTAAGAAATCACTATATGCGTACTTTCGAAGAAAAACTGAACTTTGAAATTTTTAAACACTTGATCTCATCACCCAAAAATCGGACAATCGTTATTCAATTCTGAGATTTTTTTTGGCACCTGCATATCATGATTTTGAAATTTTAGTTTTCCGACGTTAATAACTAGGTTAGAAGAGTCGCTTTCTCAACATTCAGGGTACCCAAAGAATACTCCTAGAATGGGATCGCCCGAGGGCAGTTAGTTCCAGCGGTATTGTAGAATTTTTCACTCTACTTACATAATACTGTACAAAGCGTAACATACAGTTACTGTTAATTGTGCAATGAACAATGGGACTCGTCCACCCATGAGGGGATGAACAATAGCTCAGAGATGGTTAAAGTTCAAACCGCAAACTTAATCTCCACCATCTACCTCAAGAAAGATTGGTGATCGACCTGACACGTGTATCTGATATGTCCCCTAACTCCACACTCAAAATGATAAAGCCCATACACGTCCACATTCAGGGTGGGGCCACAGGACCAAGCAAGTAAGAAGACACTGAGAATCTTTATATAATAAATTGGAAAATCCCAATGTGTTTCCCCTAGGAGAGGGGCCTACTGTGCCACTTACGGTAGCCACAGGCACAAGGAGAGAACAAGTGTAGAAGTCAGGCCGACCCCACCGCGGCCGCAACATTCATTTTGGTAACCACGGTGGAATCTAAATGTCACCGTGTCACCAGCTCCCCCACACCTGTCTAAGCCTTTCCAATCATGTTGTCCTTGAAACCATCTAGAGAGAGAAAAACTGGGTTTGAGAGAGAAATAAGGGGAACAGAAGAGAGAAACTATGAATCCATGCGTGTGAGAATGAGGCGAAAGGATACTGGGATGTAAAGTTGTGAGGGAGAATGTGGCTTGGGATAAGAGAGATCATGTGGATACAGGTGTGTGAAAATTGAGAGCGAGAGAATCTAGAAACAGTTTTTGGTCTGGCGTGAGGGAGAGAATGTATAAATCTATGGATACGAGGAGACCAACAAGAGAAATTGGCTCAGCATGTTAGAATGAGAGCGATCATCAATAGAGATAATGGAGATGGATGGAAGAGAGCATACAGGGAGAGAATTAAATAACAACAGAGATTCTCTCAAGACAGAATGTGCAAAAATAAAAGAGAAGAGGGGGGCCATTCAAGGAAGAATGTGGGGATGCGAGTTTGTAGGGAGAGAGAAAGACGGGGGACCCCCTACCCCTGAAGCTTCCATGCACACGTGCAAAAAGGGGGACACTTGGTTGGCAGCCCCCCACAAGAGGTGGGGCCTCCAACTGACTTAATACCCACCCCCCAATTTATTATTATTTCCATCATTTTTTTTTTAACTGTTTTTCTTCTTTTTATCCCATATGGAGTGGCTTTTACCGACCAGAACCATCTTTAAAAAATCCGACACCCACTTAATTATCCAAGAAGAAACCTGCTTAGACTAAAAAGAAGAAAATCTGACTTCCCACCCGTGGTAGGCAGTCTTCATACGGACTTTGAGCACACCAACAACAGTTGACTGCGTATCTTCTTCAACCCCCACCTTTTAAATTCTCCCCCATCCTTCACCCCAATACATGCAATACTGGTATCTCCTCTCTCTCTCTCTCAACTCCCTCTGCCTTTGTCTCTCTATCTCTTTCTTTGCTTCAACGCCTTCTGAGTTCTCCCCGCAAAGCCGACCGAGCAAGTCCCATAATCTCTCTCTCTCTCTCTCTCTCTGGGAAAATGAAGCTGCTCATCCTTCTAGCTGCACTCATCAGCAGTCACCATGTCTCCGCCACCCTCGAACTTGATTCCGCTGACCTCTCATCTCTCAAGACACTCAATTTAGAGGGATACTTGAGCTTCCATGACACCCACCTCGCTTCCCGAGATTTTGGCGATTGCTACCACTCCCTGCCTTCTGCTATACTTCGTCCCAAGTCTCCACAGGACATTGCCAAAACACTTCAACACGTATTTGACCTTGGGCCCTCCAAACTAACTATAGCAGCTCGAGGCCATGCACACTCACTGCGAGGCCAGGCTCAGGCCCCTCACGGCATAGTAGTGAACATGGAGTCCTTAGCCGATCCAAAGAAGAGGCGAGTTCACGAAGGGGGAAAGTCACCATATGTAGAAGTTTCAGGGGGAGAGTTATGGATTGATGTCCTTCGACAAACCTTAAAATGTGGGCTTGCACCAAGGTCTTGGACTGACTACTTGCACCTCACAGTAGGGGGTACACTCTCTAATGCAGGGATCAGTGGACAGGCCTTTCGATATGGGCCTCAGATAAGCAATGTCTACCAATTGGAGGTTGTTACAGGTTTGTTATTTTATCTTTTAGCATCCAATAAGAGAAGATATTATTTCAGCATCCTAATACATACCACAATCCACACAGGACATCACCACCCCTAACAACTGGGGCAGTACCTTCTTTTGGTGGGTTCCCCTATCACTCCCATCACCGCCAATTATTTCATTGGAAAGAAATGACCCAAATTGGCTACATTTTTCACTGCATATAGTTTGGCTTTGAATTTTGTAATGATTTTCTCGTTGTAAAATATAATTACAGGGAAAGGGGAGGTGGTGAACTGCTCTGCACAGAAGAATGCTGACCTCTTTCATGCTGTTCTTGGCGGGTTGGGGCAGTTTGGGATCATAACCAAGGCTCGGATTGCCCTCGAACCGGCTCCTGAGATGGTAAATCATAAGGGCCCTTTCCTATGAAGAGAGAAAACTGCAGGTAGAAATCTGACACTATTTGAGATCATCTCTCTGCAGGTGAAATGGATCAGGGTCCTGTACTCTGATTTCTCCCTCTTCACCAAGGACCAGGAGCTGCTCATATCCTTGGAGAAAGGCTTTGATTACGTGGAAGGCTTTGTGATAATCAACAGGAATGGTATACTAAACAACTGGAGGTCCTCTTTCTTTACCCCCGAGAACCCAATTCAGGCGAGCCGCTTCAATAGCAATGGGAGAACTCTATACTGCCTCGAGATAGCCAAAAACTTTGATTTCAACAATGCAAATGCTACAGACCAGGTGACACGCAGTGACTCATTTTCTATCTGCTTTTCTCAATAGTGACATTAATAACAATAATGACGATTATGATGATGACGACGACGACGATGATGACATGTTTTTTGTGGTGCTTGTCTTTTTGCAGGAAGTGGAAAGCCTACTGGCTCAATTGAGCTTCATCCCTTCAACTCTTTTCTCTTCAGAGCTTCCATACTTAGATTTCCTAGACAGAGTCCATGCTTCTGAGGTTAAGCTTCGTGCTCAAGGACTATGGGAGGTTCCTCATCCGTGGCTCAACCTCCTCATTCCACAAAGCACCATCCATGACTTTGCAGAAGAAATCTTCGGAAAGCTCCTCACAGATAGCAGCAATGGCCCTATCCTCATCTATCCACTTAACAAAGAAAAGTAAAAATCAAGCCAAAACCAAATGTATTGCAAAATAAAGAATGTGCCTCTCTCAATTTCAGTTTTGCTTTTAAAATAACGTTAATAATAACTTTAATCCTTCTGGTTTTCTAACAGGTGGGACAATAGGACATCTGCAGTCACTCCAAATGAAGATATATTCTACCTGGTGGCATTTCTCTCTTCTTCCACCGTCGACAGTTTAGAACACTCATTATCGCAAAATAGAAGGATTCTTGAGTTTTGCGAAAAGCAAGGCATAGGGATGAAGCAATACTTGCCTCATTATACGACGAAGAGTGAGTGGGCAGCCCACTTCAGCCACCGTTGGCAAGAATTCGTTCGGAGAAAAGCTGCTTATGATCCTTTGGCAATACTAGCTCCTGGACAGAGGATTTTCCCAAAAGCAAATGCCTTCGCATGACCCACCTTCATAAAAAGTGAAACAGATTCAACAGTGGGGAAAAGAATACATTGATGAGTTTTAGGTCAAAAAGACAGACTTTTCCATGGATTTGTATATATGATACTTGTAGTATGCTATTCAAAATGCTATATGTAACATCGCAGTCCATTGTGAAGGATAATGTGAACCCTTCATCCATTCAAGTTGGCCTTTAGACTTGAACGGAGGAACAGTTCACATCACTCCTCCCCTAGTCCACAACAGACAGCCAATGTTACCTTTATCATACTGAACAGTGTACTACATTTATCATGTTACACTTTACCATTCAATATAAAAAGGGAAGGCCTAGAGGAGTAACTGATGGGCCAAATTATCAAGGAAAACTCAGAGGAACCCCATCATCTGGGTTAATGCAATCTTTTTCTCAATCATTGCCAAACAGAGCAGAAAGGAAAGAAAAAAAAAAAATTTGAGAGAGAATGAGAGAGAGAGAGAGAGAGAGAGAGAAGGTTGTAGATGGGAATTCTTCAAATATAGCTACCTTCTGCGAATGCATATCCTAATCCAATAAGCATCAAGAGGGAACAGAGCACATGAGATGAAGGGCTCTCACGGATGCTGCATGAGGTCATTTCCAAAGCATGACCTCTAGCTCGCTTTCCTTAAGGACCAATTCAGACCCTAAAGCCTTCGATGAAACACTACTACATATACAGACACAGGCAAAAGGAAAAAGCCACATGAAATGCAAATCACTATTCCAAATATTAAGTGAATCAACAAGCAAAAGGCAATAGTGCAAGGACTACAAATTGAGACAAATGAAACATCGCATTCCTCTTTTACCAGGAAGCAGTAAACAGTAAATTCCTAATCTGAGACTCTCAGTACAGAAGACCAGCATCAGGGCATAAAAAGAACAATTACAAAAGCCACTTTCAAGAACTATCCATACAGTCTACTAGCCTTAATACTCAAACGAACTACAGAAATTAGCACTTCTCTATTTTGGTTTGGGGAACTCCTTCCCAGCCAAGTCCAGGCCTAGACACTTCTCCCTGTGGTTCCTCATAGTCCCGAGCATCACGTAGTGAGGCCTCAAAGTCAGTGGAATCAACTGCAACAGGAAGGAAGCTGCCTATGTCATCAGTAGCTCCAAAACCACCAGCCCTTACAACATCATCCTCTGTAATGGTAGCCTCCATGTTTACTTCTGCAGCTTCTTGATTGCCTCCTCCCTGCTGTGTACCATCATGTGCGTCAACCATCAAGCTGTCGAGTTCATCTGCTCCAGCACCCATTTTATTTTGATCCTTATCTAAAACATAGACAAAGCTCAGCATGTAAGGAGTAATTAACTTTCAAAAAGTATCTATAATTCTTTGCATATTCTATAATTAGTTCAGCAAACAAATTAGAAGCAGATTGTTCACAAATATGGGCACAAATTGTGGTGCTCATGAACATCGGCACAAGATACGGTTCTTTTCTGACAATCAATGCATGTAACCTTGTCCTCTCAAATGACATATTATAAAATACAAGTAAAAAAGGAAACCTTCTCCTGTCAAAGAAAGATGCATTTGGACGAGAATAAAGAATAAATATCATTCTTAAGCAAGAATATCTCGTTCTTGGAAGCAAAAAAATATGTAACCTATCAATCTGTTGTTGTTTCCATCATCTTATAAATAGAGAACCAGAACGAGACATCGTACATTTCATGTTATGACATGTATTTATAAGAAGGGCAAGAAGAAATTAATCCACATGGTATACTTGAGGCATATGCAATCTCAAGAATACAATGTTTTCAAGGGAGAGTGAGATCTTGGAGAAAAAATTATGTCAGTATAAATTGTTGGAACTGTGATCCTCTTCTTTTTTTTTCTTTTTTTTCTGTTTTTGAATGCTTGGATGTAAGGAATATTACCTTGAACATTCCAAAATCCGCAATACAACCTCATAACATGCTCTCTTACTGACCAAAATTCTCAACTACAGAAGTTATCACTCAAGGGGACATTATAAATGAACTATGCATTCTTCAAATTCTTTGTATAATTTGCACTATCTAATCTATGGAAGTAATTTTATCTTATTATCAGTATATATGGTCTGTCAAAGTCATTGCCAAGATAAGTCTTTATGATTATTATAAACCAATATAAAAATGTCAAACTTGTGAACCAGAAAAAAGCAAAGCTTCCATGAATTGTAGATTCATCGGGTGAATTAGTTGATCGGATAACATGAGAAATACTTTCCAGAGATCCAACGTCACTATCAAAAGGAAACAAAGCAAGAAAAGAAGTGTCTTGTGAACAGTAGAGCGTGCAAGTTCTTTCAGTACCACAATGGAAGCTCTTAATTCCAATTTGCATTCACGTGGAAGCCATAAAATTTCCAACACAATCTAATTTCCAGAAGTAATGTCTTGATTGAATCAGACCATAGCAGAGTGAGCTTTCTGTGCGTGAGTAGGGTTCTTTTCTGCCAAACAAAATCACCTGTATGTGCCAAAGACTATCCCGAATTTTCTAATTTCAGTGGTTGCAGGTATGATGGATCCGCAGATTCCATTTGTGAGAGATTGCACCATTTTAAATTCTTGGGAATATTCATATGCAGACCTAAAAAATTAATTGAAAATTGCATAAGTTGTTTAGGGAAGTTATTGGGGTAAAGATAACAAATGAAAGGGAGGGAAGTGAGGAGGTGGTGGGATGATATCTACTTCGAAAAATTCAAAGGGGGTTATTATGAAAGGTGAATTTTTTGGAGCAGCCTCAACAAAGTTTTCCTAGAAATCTTTCCTTATGACATTCTTTCTCTCATCATACAGCTGAAGATGATTGGGTGCATCTCCTCTAACAAAGCCATTACCTAGCAGATTTTAATTGGTCTTCAGAGGGCTCAGGTCTTTGAAATTTTTTATATCAATCTTTATACTGGTTTAGTTTGTTTAATGAAGATATTTTTGTTCTGCTTAATGAAGATATTACCTGAGAGGGAGAGAGGGAGGAACAATGAACAGGAGGACGAGAGCCTACCAGACCCAAACATCAGCACTGTTGGCGTTATGTGGCCATTTAAAGATCTTACAAGAGCATGTTAAACTATGACTATAGTGATATGATAGCTCCAATGGGAGTACGGCCCAGGGGGACCAAAAGATTATGGTCCAAAGGGGCTGAAGTTGGCAACATCGATGCTAAGACTAGGGTTGAGCTTAAAACCCAGTCGGGTTGAGCATAAAATTTATCTCTAGGCATAAGGCACAACCGTCGAGGTTTTAAGGTTATCCCATGATGAGGTAGGAGAGATTCCCAAAGTGGTTGGCCAAGGGAAAGTGGGACTCTTGTGAGCAATTGGAAGGCCTGAAGGGACAAGGGCCAAATCCTCATCATGACCATTGCACATGTACATATGATAGCCGTATTGGAAAGCAAACACCATTGAGAGGGTGACATGTACATGTGCAAAAGATAGCCCCCCGTGCACTAATTGCGATAAGAGTGCACAGGTTTGTGTGACCTAGGCTTGTCCCTAGGGGGGACCTTGTAGTCCATAGACTAGGATTGTATTCTCATCACCTAATGGCTGGCTTTGGTAGTTCAATCATGAACCCCTGTGATGGACTGTACGTCATAGGAACTATTGGGTCAATTTAAGAAAGTAAGAGTGGGATATGGCCACTAATAGAGATGTAGTGCCTCAGTATATTTGTATTTTTCTTAAAGAAGTTGGCTCCAATTCCCATCAAAATACTTTTCAAATGATTAATTTTGTGTTAAATGATTTTTAGAATATTAATATGAATTTTTAGGAGTCTCTAGATATTTTTATTTTATAAAAATTGAATTTTCAATTAGTTAATACTAAATTTCTGGTATTTAGATATCCAGAAAATAAAATATTTATGGTTTTCTAAAAATCAATTTATTAATTTAAAAATTTAATTTAGATTATGGGGCCTTTGAAAGGAGTGGCTATGTAGAAATCAAGGTATTAATTTAAACGTTTTCATTTTTTTTTAATTCAATACCCTTGAATACCACTTACATGGCCAACTAAATATTGTTATAAATCAAAATTAATACCTTGGATACCACCTAGGATCTTTAATTTCACTGCGAAAACAACTATCTAGGAGCTTTAAATAAACTTCCACTATAACATTTAGTACGATATATGTTCCTAGAAATTCACAGAAAAAATAAAAAATATTACTGAACATTACTTAAATCAACTGGAAAGACTTACTGGTAGATGCCTGGAGTTACCATCAGGTCTTGAGACACCCCACACCTGATTCCCTAACCAATGGCACACTTTTAGTCCAGTAGGTGTTGCTGGAAATTTTGAGATAGGGAAAGTTTTTAGGCAATACATTTTCTTAAGGTTTTAGATAGCTCAAATATTCAACTAGGGTTTGTAACAACCCTATGGAAACAAACTAAGGCAAAAACTTGTGAGTTGATCTCTCTCTAGGTTTCATATACCTCTCTATTCTTCAAAGAGCAGCAAACCCTAACTTATGGTTTCATATGGCTCCACCTCCTTTCTTTCTATTTCCTTATTTTGGAAGACTACAAAAATAAGAGACGAAGAGAGGGTGGTGTCACATCTATGGGGGAAAGAAAGATGTGTGAGAAAAAATATGGGAGAGCAAAAAGGTGGCATGAGAGAGCAAGAGGGGCATCTCCTCTTTGTTTCTCTAAGTGTGTGAAAAATAGAAAGGGAGAGAATTGTAGCGTGAGAGGGAGAGAGAGATCTTAAGGCATGAGAGAGAAATCTTATTGTCATGAGAGAAGGGGTCTCAAATCTTGTTTAAATACAAACAAGATATACGTCCTACTTTGAATAGGATTCTAATCTAGGCATGTCTTATCTAATTTTCAGCTTGACCTTCAGGGTAATTAGACAATCTATGGGGTCAGAGGGATTTAATCAAAGCAATCCATCCTACAAATCAGCCATCAAGATTTTTGGTGGAAAATAAGAATTTTATCCCCTTAAAATTTGACCCATATCTAACTCCTATTTAAATTTAAAATAGAAGCAATCTTATCATCATCAAGATCTCCTATAATCTTTAAGAAATCAAAGATAATCTATATTTTAAAACTCCATCTAGAATAGGAAACCATATCTTATTTAAAATTAAAAAATTTCATATACTTAAATAATTTAAATTTAAACAAACAAATTTAAAAGAGGGCGGGCCCCCTGGCCCCCCGCGCCCCCCCCCCCCCTTTTTGCTAAAAAAGTGGTGTCCCCCTAATAAGGGGGGTCACATGGGCCCCACACCAAAAAAAAAAATTGCACACACATGTGGGGTTGGATCTTTGGTCCCACATATGTCATATAAAGTTCTGAAAATTTCAGAAATACCCTTTTAATGAATATTACAAAAAAATAATATTTTACAATTCTAAAAAAAATGTAAAAACCATAAAAACAATTTGAATACCAAAATAAAATATACCAGGAGTGGACTACCAATGGGTCAAAAATTGCAACAATAAAGGCACTGCACTTGCTTTAAGAACCATGGTCCACTACCATTTTCTTATCCAACCGAACAAAGACCTATGACCCACAGTCTCATTGCAGGGGCTCATGATTGGCTCGTCAAAGTTGGACAACAAACAGTCGGACTATGATCCTGAAATATGGAATCCAGTTCCCCCTTTAAGAGAAAGTCTAGCACTTGTCTCTACAGTGCAAAGGGGCTTCTCTCTATGCACATGTACATGTGTCCCTCTATAGGGTTGTTTCCCAGTAATGCGGTTGTCATGTGTACATTCTATGCGTAAGTTTGTTGACGCTTTAGCCTTTGCTATCACAGACCTGCAACCACACACAAGAGACCGCACAGTTCTACTGGGCTAAATATACCATCCATGTGCATCTCTCTGACCTCAACAAGGGATGAGCCACTATAAACCCTTCTTGATAGTACCACATGCCCAGGAGTAAGGGTTTTGGACATGATTAGAGACATAAACTGCCCAACCATTGGTCAGTTTACAAGCTCACTAAGCCTTTAAAGGCCACAAAACCCAACATCTCCCACTTGGCCTATGAAGGTCGTACAATCGCTCCCTCTCAATTTCTCTCAAGTGCATCCCAAGTACATGTTTGGAAAAAACATTTGCAACCAATCCTTTTGTCAAAGGATCTGCTACCATAGCCTCTGTCGAGAGATATACAATCTGAATCTCTCCTGCACGGATCTCGATGAGAATGTGGTAGTAGCACGGCTTTATATGACTCGATTTCTTGTGAAACCTCAAGTCTTTTGACATACAA